TTTAACATAGATCACAGATCTTAAGAGAAAGTCGGAATTCATTGCTGGTTAAATGAACTACTTTCCCCGTTTTTAATATCAAATTTTTTTCTAGAAACTCATTATAAAAAAAAGATTAAGGGGTATTTTAAAACTTCTAGAATATGAGTACAATTAAATAAATAAACTAAACTATAAGGAAGAAAATATTTGCTAATCACTGCCTATAAAAGCTGATTTTTGATTAAAATAATCTCCATTCACCTAGTGACTCTCTATTCACCTTCATCCACAAGAAAAAAAGTACTCGACTGTTTGTAAATTTAATGTTCACGTATATTATTTATTTTATTTTTTTTCAAATTATGATATTATTTAAAACTCCGGTTGCCCACCCCAGCTAAAGCTTAGTTTGAAAGTGAAAAGTCCAAATGCGATGAGAAAATGTATATATACTCAAAGAAATGACGTTGATGTGTCTTAGTCATAAACATAAAATACAGTATGCAACAATTAATTAGCATATTAAGGTTAAGCCCTTGAACTTTTAGGATTGAGTTTTCGTACATGAATAATCGACAATTAGGTCAAGAGTTATTAAGGTTTCCTAGTTTTTATTACACATAGTAAAGCATTTTTTTACTTACACTGTAACAAAATTGTAATGATTTTGGTGTCATTCATATTAATATATTAAATTATTGCAAGAAATAAGCATAACTCTAATTTTCATAAATTTTAATCAATGAAACGTTAAAGATTTTTAGGAGAAACCTTCTAAGTCTTAATTTAAAAAGACCTAAGTATTTTTTTTTAATCGAAAATAATTTAAAATAATAGATAAAGCTCTAAAAGTTGCTATTTCCACAACAAAATAAGCCAGCAAAAGAAAAAAATAAATTTTGTGAGAGCTTAAAATCTAATTACTCCTATCTTGATATCTCTTCTAATGAATAATTTAAAGCCTGACAGAACTTTTTTCTCGAAATAAAAAGTCCCAACATTGTCGCAACATATTTTTCTGATTTTTAGCGGCAAAGTCACAATCCATCTCCTAAATTAACTTGCTTTCTCTAAAAATAAAATAATAAAATAAAGAGAATCGACATGTCAAGTAAAATGACATGGGATAGTCTGCTTTTATAGCGCAATCCTTTTTCCGGACGTGCCTATTAGAATAACGACAATAGTGGGGTGGGTTGAAATATTAAAAAAGACAAGGAAGTCATGTTGTCGACAAGAAAAATCGTTTATTGGAAAGGTTCACTGTTAGCTATTGTTAGCGGCTAAGTGAATGATGAAGGTTGACAAGAGTAATCAGCGCTTACGTAAAATTCTAAATGTCTTAAAAGTAATGGGGCTTCTGGGTTCTGGCATGTTATTCAGCCGATGCAATATTGAATATGCGTTAGTTAACTACTTACGATATTTCCATAAAGTGAAGCAATAAATTATCTTTTCAAATGTAATTGCGTGCCTTACTTATAGTGAAAGACCGCGTGAGTGTGTGCTTAATGGAGATAAATAATGTGTTTGTAAAAGAGATATATTTTAGATTGCAATATTGTAATAAAAAAATATTTTTAACGAAACTCAGTTTTAAGATTCTACAATTATTAAATTAAAAAAAAAGACATCCCTTAAAGTAATAGTGAAGCAATGTTTTTGAGAGTTAGTTTCTTTTCATTTTAGTTCTGTCGTGTTATTTCACCGAAGCTATATTGAATATGCGTTAGTTAACTATTAACGGTATTTCCATAAAGTGAAGCAATAAATTATCCTTCCAAATGAAATCGCTGATATTCTTATTCATTGCAATCGGTATGCGAGTGCCCGAATTAAATTAAAGACTGATTTGAGGTGCCTTTCTATTTGTTGGCCTCCTGTTTTATCAGAACTGGGCAAAAGTATCGAAAGTCTTGCTGCCTTGTGGAATTTTGTTTTTAATGTAAGTTTGTAAATTTTCTTGTTTTTTTTTCTACTTACTTTTGCAAGCCTCATGCTATACTTTGTGGTGTCTGAGGAGTTTTCAATCGGTTAAATAAAAAAAATGAAATCGCATACTACTTATAGTGAGTTTCTTCAATTAATATGTCAGTGTTTGCAAATCTGAGTTAAGCTATGTGTTTTCAAAACAGATGAATTTTAGATTGCTGCTTGAAAACATTTTTAACGAAACTCATTTTCAGATTCTAAGATTTCTAAATTAAAAAAAATATATACATATTCCTTAAAGTAATGGAATTTTCTCTTAATTATTAGCAAATCTTTTTTTAAATATTATTAAAACATCCTATAAAGCTTTAATAATTTTTGAAAAATAGTTTATTTGAATTTAAGCTCTGGCACATTATTCTGCCGAACAATATTAAATTTGCACTATTTAAGAGCTAACGATAATTCCATAAAGTGAAGCAATAAATTTTAGTTTTGATGTGTTTGTGAAAGAGATACTATTTAGATATCTGAATTGTTGTGTGAAAACTATTTTAACGAAAAAAAAATTTTGACTTAGACAAAAAAAAATTTGACAAAATTACTAAGTTTAAAGAAAAAAAACCTTTTTTAATGTAATGTAAAATTTTATTTAAATAATTAATAAAATTTCTTTAAATTATTATGAAACATTCTGTCAGGTTTAAATAGTTTTTGAAAGATGTTTTATTTGAATTGCGAATTCATCAACATATCCATTAAAATAAATTGCACGATTTTTAAATCTATAAAAGCTTATTATTTTCTTCAAAGCGGAACTGTTTACCATCACTTTATTTTCCAGAAATTTTGAAAACTAATAAGACATGGAATCATAAATTGTTCAACGATATACGTATTTTATGCTCAATCGTAAAAGGTGAATTTTACGTATATAGCTTTAAATAATTTAAAGAGGGATTTCTTTAATCTTCTATAGTTTTAAAGTATATAAATTAATTAATACCGATTATACAGCCACATGGATAATTCAAAATTTTGAATAATATGCATTTTTGTACAATCTTTAAAATATTACATTCTAAAAATTGTTCATGGAGTGGTTTTTAGATAAGCAAGTAGGTAGTATACATGACATTGGCATTTTATATGAAAGCCTGACACCTATAAGAAAAGATTTGCACCATCCGTTTGACTGGTGGATCTATGATCCCTACCGGAAAAAAAAGAAAAGTAGAAATGCTGTTTTCTCTATAAGTACTGCCACTCCCTTGGCCTAAAACCAGCTCTTCAAGGCATACATTTAATACAATTATAACATCTCGTGCATTTTTACTTGAAATCTTGTTTATAAGTTACGACTATAGCATTGGTAGTCTAATGAGAAAATAAATTAGTTCTAGTTCATTTTACTTTTGTATCAGTTGATAAATTTGTATCACATGCTTTGGGAATCGATATTGCCTTTAATAAAACATTTTTGTTCAACAAAAAAAAGTGAGAATAATTGAGATAGAAAACATTGTTTCATTTAATAAAAAAATAAAGCACTGCTTTTAGATAAGGTTTATGCTTTGCATCCTTAATCCGCACTGACTGAGCCTTTTATATTTGCCTCTTCTGTTCGAGAAAAATTTGACACTCCAAGTTATAAATAGTTAGGATATTTTTCTTGTTCCTTCAAACGAGTAAATTTGACTTGTTCAATACTCTCCGTCGGCAAAAATTATTTTGATGGGTTATGCTATTTTCCTTACCAAATGTTATAACAACCGGGTGTAATTTAGGTTTCAAAAAAAAAATTTATCTGAATGCTAGATAGGGCAGTGAGTGCTGACATTTCCATTGAGCAAGATATATAGTTTGTCCATATAAAGAATGCCCCTCGACACAAAGTGTGAGATCATCTGCTGCTATGGAATCAAGAAATAGAGCATTTCAAATTGGAGATTTTCTTTTTCCCTCGTCAACTCGAGCCAAACCCAGTCTTAAATATTGACCCAACATACTAACCCATTTGAAATAGTACTAACCTATAGAATAGTACTAACCAACATACTAGCCTATTTGAAACTTCGTATCTGCAGTGTCAGCCGCTGCTGTAGATGAATAGAATGGAAATTTTTTCGATCAATAGACTATATTCTAGTCTTCTAAATATAGGGTTAGATAATATAACTATTTGGAGAGAGTACACGCGGAACGAGCGCGCATGCTCAAATTATTAAATACGAATCAAAGGAACGAATAATAATTTTGGCAGCCTTTCACACAGAAAGTGGTAATTCAAAAATGTGCTTATTCGCAATTATTTATTTATTTTAAGACTTAAAACTTATTAAAATCCAAAAAAAAAAAAGTTTAAGAAATATCAAAATTACTTTAAACCTCACTATTTGAAAAAATTACAGCAATTTTTAATCCTTGTAGGTTAATAATGAAATATTAGATTTTTGTTATTAGTTTTTAAAATATAATTCCTAATGAGACTTTAATATTAATATTAATGCACTTTAAAATGCCCCAGATCAAATTAGGATGCGGAGTACTGTCACTCTCAGTTAATCATCAGTAAAATATTTTGAAAGTAATTTTCAAGAATTTTTACAGCAATGTTCAATTAAGTAGAGTGAGTCAGTGATTTTACAGTAGTTATTACTGCAAAAATTACGGTAAATCAGATTTTTTGTTCCGTGATATATTCCAGTAAAGAAAGTTAAAGAGTCCGCACTTTCAGTGCAAGTATTTTTTGCCGTAATTATTTGGGATTTTTTAAAGTTTAGTTAGTCTTGTATGTGAAATGGATGTAAAATGTAAAATCAATGACAGCATCACTTTTTTTGGAAAAAAATATATGAATTAAGATGAAAAAAGCATTCCAGAATAGAAACATATAAGATGACAAAATAGATTCGGAATAATCAGGCTAAAATAAAAGCCGCACAAAATAAAATGAATATAAAACAAAGCATTCTGAAAATAAGTAAAAACCTAAAGGACAGACAAATAAGGAAACACTAAAACATATGTTTTATAATATCGCTGTATATCAGTTATTTATAAATTATATGAGAAAGTAGGCGTACCGTGGATTACCATTGCTGCAGTGAAACTGGCGGATGCTGCCAGGTTCCTAGCAATGCACGTGTAATTTCCTTTATGTCTCAATTCAACCCGAGTGAATAACATGGCCTTAGAAAATTCATCCAAAGTAGTTTCTGTCACTCCTAAATCCTGTGTCAGTGGCTTGCCGTCCTTCAACCATTGTATCGTTATAGGAGGATCTCCTTTGGTGACGGAGCACAGCAATTTTGACCTAGCGCCTTCTTCGATGGCTTCAGGTATGTGGAAGGGCTCGATAACTGGCGGAGCTGAAAAAGAAATTAAGTTGCTAGGCTTAAGAATGGATGGACAAACATGCTTTACTTCTTTGCTTTACTGTCGTCATGGCAACCGACAAGTTTGTGACTCAAAGAGAAACAAAATCCCGGCTTCTAACAAATTATCAGAATTTCCCGTGAATCGGTTATTTACATTCAAATCTCTCGAGTCAAGAAACGGGAGGTTTGTCTCGATTTTATTTTTCCAATTACAAGTTTTGGAAATTTTCTGACAGCTTGTCGCGAGATTTCTACAGAATTTAATAAAGTTTTCTTCATCAGATGATTTATGTAGGGTAGAAAAGTTTATGAATGTGCGCTGGTGAAATCGCAGATGATTTCTGCTGAATAGAAATTTTTATTTCGGCGAATTCAACCGGTTGAATGCCATGAATTAAAAGCATAAAATATTCTGGCTACACATGATTTTAAATTCTTTTGACTGTTGTTTAAGGAAAAAAAAATATCTATGAAAATATTTGAAATAGATTAATACATTGAGACTGAAAAAGCATAGTAGAATAACATTTTGCTGCTTTTAAATTCTCTAAACTACTTAAATGTTATATCATTCATGAAAATTATAAAACGATTTATTTATGCGTGTTTTTTAAAAAAAGAATGTTAAGCTTTTTTTAAATTGCTCGCAGCAAAAGAAAGAAAAAATCTGAAGAACTGTAGGTAAAACGTTTTTAAACAATATTTCTGTCGAAATAATAAGTGAGGATTATAATGTTGATATAGGGAAACTGTTAGCATCCTTTAAAAAAAAAGAAAAAAAAACAGCAATTGCATCAAAATCTTAAAGTAAAATTGAATTTTGAATATAGTAATTAAATATAAGCTTTCATACGAAAGGTATAAAAATAAAAACGTATATATTATTTTTTGAAATGAAACATTCAGTAATATTTTTTCTTTATAATTTTAAAATTAAATTTTAGCTTGTTTCTTACAAGTTGCTATTAAAAAAATAAATGAAGACTTTAAAAGTATCGGCAGAATTTCAAAACATAATCACTTTGCTCAAAATGTTGTTTACTGCAAGGTTCAATTGGTCTGACGAGAAAATTCATGAGAAATTAAAGTAAACAAACGTTTTCTCGCCTGGTTTTGTCTCACACCGAGACGCAAGAAATTAAATAGTGTATTTGTAAAAAACTACTTTGTAAAAATGTATCTACGTCTGGAATATGTTAATATTAAATACGAGTTGTGGTAAACTTATAGTTATATTAATCATTCGATATTTTTTCATATTTATATAAGAAAACTGTATAAATTTATAATTCATTCTCCCATGGGATTGCCCTATTATAATATGCTAATGCTTATTTGATGCTTGCAAACAATTAAATGAATTTTTACATTTCGAATAGTTTTTCTTTCTCACTTTTAGAACGAAATACTGCATTGAAATTTTAATTATCGTATTTGAGTTAGAAAAAATCTAACTGTTTCCAATTTATTCAATTATATAAAAGTTGAAATCAGAGATGTTTACTAACATATGGCAATAATAAATCAAAAGACTCACTGGTAGTGTTCTGTTGACGAGGATGACATGTGGAAGTCAAATATATTGAATTAGTATTTGAAAGCTATCTTAAATCGAGTGTTTATTTTGCTTAAAAGGGTTTGCAATTTCGAAAAGCGATGCTATTTTGTGTTGAAAATATTGTGATTAATTTTTAAACATTCCTGTTTTTATCTTTTTTTTCTTTTTTTTGAGGGATATTAATCATAATATAATTTCCATTTTAAGCATAAATGAAAAAAAATTTCTAACACTTAATTTTTAATTAATACTTTAAATTAGATTGAAGCGAACTTTTGAATGAAGACAAAATTAAATATTTTTCAAAGATATTTACCTTCTTTCGAAATTGAACACAATATTACAAAAATTTTATAAAATTCCGATATAGGTTCACAATTATACTTTAATATTTAATAGCATCGTACATTAATAATAGATATTTCAATACATAAAATTATTAACTTAAAAAAACTTGAAGCTTACTAATTTTGAACTTTATTTTCTTATATTATAATGCACATAAATAATTAAAATTTTTATTATAATTTTCAAAATCATATACTGACATTGAAACACAGTTCATACTTACTTAAAACTCTTATATTAAGCGTCCTTTCACCTTTCTGACCTTGACTATTTCTTGCAATGCATCTGTATTCTCCTCCGTCACTTCTTCGGTCAATTTCTCGAATAATTAATGTTCCATTCTTAAAACCTCTCTGACGATGATTGAACGGTATTCTTCTCCCATCTAATGAAAAAAAAAATGTTTCATGACCGATTTGTTAAAATATGGTAAGTTAGAATGAGATTTGGTGTGGTATAAACTTACTCTGGCTTACTCTTTCGATCTAAACTTATGAACTTACCCTTTCTATTTAAGCTTGTAAACTAAGTTTTACAAAACATCAAATGTCAAATCATTGTATACTGTAAAAAATCGGAACAAACCATGGTATAAAATACAGGCAGTTTTGGTGCGTCATCCGTAAAACCCCTTTTACGGTAAAATAAATTTTTACCGTAAAATTTGGTATCTTAATTCTTACAGTAATATTTATTTAATTTGAGTGATTTCACTTTAATTATTATTAGTAAAAATACGGTGCATCGGATTCTTTGTTCCTTGATATTTTCCGTAAAAATAAATGTTACGTTCAAATTATTGGCACTCAGAGTGGCATTAATTTTTACCATAATTTGATCCGGAATTTTTGGCAGCATATTTTAATGTGTTAAAGAGGTATAGTTTGTACATGGAGGATAATTTTGTCTCCTCCTTGTAGTTTTTAGTTTTTCGAAATTATAGGTAAATTTATTTTGAAATTGAAATGCATTCTTCAACACTTTTTATTTAGTTTCAGCGAAATCTTTCTATATTTCTGTTTTTATTAATAAATATTGAAAAATCTTCCTTTTGAATCACATTATATTTCAGCTTTTTTTTAAAAAATTATTAATTGATTGTTTTATTACATTTTATATCAATAGTTATATATATAATCTTATTGTTTATTTAAACTTATTTTTATCTTTAGTTTTTTTATTTGTATCGTTTATTTTGATTTATATTTTAATTAACTCTCATTATTTGATTATTGATAAGTTTTTTCCTGTATCGTTTAATTTTTTCTTTATTAGATATGTTGAATCATTGAATTATCAATAATGACGATCCATAAATCGAGAACATTAATCAAGCCTTACTATTTTTACCATTTGCTTTAATATTCGTATTACACAAGTTTAATTCTACAATTCTCACTTAAAAACTATTACTGTGTACAATTATTGGATGATAATCTAAATAATGAAAATATGTTAATAACAGACAAAGACTTTAAACATCGAATTATTAATTAAACAATATTTTTTCTATTATTTTTAAATTTATTATAAAGACTTATTCATTAAATCAAAAATATATTCCTATATTAAGTAATAGATCGAGTTTTTAAAATAGTTTAGTCATAATTATTAAATGTTTTATTAAAATAAATATATTCCAAGCAATGAAATACACGTATCATTCCTATTATTAAAAAAAAATACGAAATTACTTTAGAGTGCTATTTTTTTACTTGATATAAAATGACATCTGAAATATCAATTTTCACCTTGCTCTCTCTTTATAATCTGAAAAATTAAAATTATGTATATATGACTTTACATTCTACCTTTTAATAAAAACTGCATTACCAACAAAGTTATCTTATTAGAAAATGTCATAAAAATTAAATATCATGTTCTTATTGCAATTCAAAGCAATAGTAAAAATACACCTGAAAGAAATCTATTTCAAAGAAAATTAAATAATAGAAAGAAAGAAAAGAAATGTTCTCTTTTACAAAATGTTAATTAATTGGACTTTTTGTTTAGTTTTTTTTAAATAATTCTAAACCATTCTGATATTAGATTATTTTTCAGTATTATGCATAAAGGAAATAGGAAATGAATTCTTTCATTTTTTAATATATATATTTATAGAAACGTTTCGCCTTCTGTCTTTGTCAGTTTACAGACATCTTGAAATTGAAGAATATTTTTTTTTCCATTTTTCACTGCCAAAAATTCGATAAACAATAAGTCTTTTCATAAATCCGTTTCTTGATTTCATTTTGGAATCTGAATCACTTTTTGTTATTTTTCTCGATTTTTTTCTTTATTTGGACTCTTCAAGTTTTTGACGTTTGCCAAAAATGAAGCAAAAAATAAAAACATGGAGTGAATTCTCTGGATGTTTTGGATGTGTTTGTTTTCTTAACTGAAATATAGTTTTACTGTTTTGACGTTTTCTTTTATCTCAACTTCAACTAGAGAGAAGTTATAGAACTGCGTTAGCATAATTTAAAAATTCTCTTTCTTCTATTTACTAATTTTTGCTTCACTCTAGAAAATAAAATGTTTTATTTGAAGTTCAAAAAACTTTATTGTTAAAAAACTTTACAAAAAATTAACTTACATTTCGTATAAAGATATGTAAGAATATAATTATTAAATTATTAAATTTTAAATATTATTATTAAATGTACAAATGTAAGTGAAACTCTTTAGTGATTTCTTAACAATTAAGAATAGATCTTTTATTCCGGAGATTGATTTTTTACTTTATGCGGGTCAACAATTATATAATAAACAACATAAACACTCATTTTTGCTTATAAATTAATAAATTTAGAAAATGGCGTGGAGAGTGGGGCTGTAGGGTGAAGTCCCACAAAACATCTCCGTCCACCATGAAGTTAAAAAGTGAGTCTCATGTGTACCTTAGCATAGTTTTCGCCAAGGAAAGTTGAGTAATCTTTGTGTTTGCTATTAATTGATTAAATTTTATGTCAAAGCTCTTTTCTTAGCCTTACGAATTCAAATGTGTTGGCGAAAAGGCAAGCGTAAGAAATAGTAACTAGTTTTAATGAATCCAAAAAATTAGCAACCATATAACGGTCTTCGAATTCTATGCTAATGTGTTAGGCTGATGAAGAGGAAATCTCTGAAAATAGAATTTATTCTGCAGTCAATTCTAGATTGTGGTATAAAAAGATTACAAGTTATATAAATGATTTTTATTTATTGCAAAATGATTAAATAAGATAATAATTTGATTTTTAAATGCTAGGAAATATGTTATGCATAATTCAGCATGACAAAGAGTAAATATTTTTCAAATTTTCAATAGCATTGTGTAATTGTCTAATAATTTTGTGGAATTTAGCAATTAAAAGCTTTTTTTTTATAAGAAACAGGAATACGAAATCGTCCAAAATTAACAAAACTCTTTAAAAAATAAATCACTAGGTCATCGATATTTTCGGCTTTTTCTTTTAATATTCCTAAAACTTGAAAACGAGCCAGTTAACAACACAATCCTATTCCAAATTTCTTAATTCATGAAAAATGAATAAAACGATGTTTTTCTTTCCCTTTAAAAAAAACTTAAATTTATTGAGCTGTCACAGTTGACCTTTTTTCGATTTTTTTTTTAGAAAGCAGGAAAAAAAATGAGTTCACGTGCTTCGTCTATTAAAACAGATTCAGAAGATAAATGATTCTGTAGCAAAAGGTTAACAGAATAAATAAATTGAATAAATTAGAGCTTGACTAGATGCGATATAAAACTCCTTAGTAAATGTCTCAAAGTATAAGAGCAGAGATACATCCACTGAAGCAAAACAAAAAGAGATTAAAAACTGATTGAAATTGATGAGACACGAAAAACAATGCATTTTCTACTGAACTTAAAAATTTATACAAATTCTATACTTATTTAGAAAGCTGTAATTGAAATAAATGTACCACATTTATCAGACTAATGGACAATCCTTTTATTTCATTAATGCATCTGCTATTCCAGATTACTGAAGTCAGAATTTCAATTGATCCATTTAATATTTTGTTGTTTTTGTTTTTTTATCATTTCTGCAATTAAATTAATGTTCATAGAAGAAGGACAAGTAATTTTTTGAAAATATATTTTAATACTAAGATTTCTTTTACATGAATTAAAAAAATAAAAACATTTAATATATTTTAGCAGTTTAGATTAGAGTTAGAAGCCTGTTCGAAGACAAATGTTTTTAATTTGCATTATAAATTTTAGAATATTATCACACATAGTAATAATTAGTTAGATTATTATTGCACATTAGATTTCTATTGCAGATTATTATTTAATTTTGACAAAGATACTGATGCTATGATTATTTTTAACTTAATAAATATCTTATAATTTTAGTCAAATAAAAAAACATAGATGGAAACTTGAGGCAGCTAGTCAAGAATTGTAAGATTTTAACACATTTTGATAGTACACTGAGAAAAAAACTTAATAAAATAAATAAATATAAATAAACTAAATTTTTTACTGCAAAGATAGATAGTTTTTGCATTCAGTTGCATTGTTTATAAATTTTTTGTGACACTCGATCCAAATTACGGAAAAAATATAAATATAAAATATATTTAGTGTAGTTGTTGGCATAAATTACGCTTTTAAAATTACTTTTTTCCCAATAGACTTCTTCCACGGGATAACCAGCTACAGGGCAACGAACATTGAGAACTTCACCTTCAACAGCAGCAATGTCCTTCATTATTCGGACAAAAGGGGGACCAATGACGTTTATTTTGGCTGAATGGCTTAAAGATCCAATTTCATTTGTAGCTAAGCATCTGTATACGCCTAAATATAAAAATAAGTTGATAAACAATTATCGTTCAATTTAAAAATAATTTACAGGTAGCATGATTCTAACTAAATAAAACTAGTATGTAAGCTTCAAAAATAAAGAGCAGAAATTATGAGAATAATAGTTTCTAAAGTTTTATACAAACCTGTAGAAAAAATTAAATTTAAGACAATTAAAGATCACTGTGAATAATCATTCGGACATTTTGCCAGGCATTTGCAACTTTGGATACATTGGAAAAACCAGGAATTTTAGGTTAATGGAGCTTAACGACAGGTATATGCGTCATTTAGAATTCGAGGAAACTTTTATCTTCGCATAATAATAAAATCTTGGAGATACGTTGAACATCACTATTTCTAAAATCCTTCCCACCCCAGGAAAATATTTTCCTGAGGTTTCTGCCGCTCCATGGATTTTCTAAAATCTTGTTTCATACATTCGAATCCCCTTCTTAATACCACAAATTCATTATGAACTTGTGAACATAGATTGGAAATGTGTCATGTCTTCATTTGCCTCCTTCAGCTATCACTACCTTCATATACTGTAGTTAATTTTCAACTTCATTTTTTTTCTCTTTGAGGACATGAAATTTCTTTAATTTTCACCTTCATTTTTGAAGAAAAAAAATTTCCATTCATAAGATATATATACAGTGGAACCTGTTTAAGAAGTTCTCACTTAAAAAGTTTTCCAGCGTAAGAAGTTATTTTTTAAAAGAGCCAAATACCATAATGTTAAATTTACCTTTATCAGAAGTTTTTTTTTCTCATTTAATAAGTTTTCAAGCTCTTCCAATTTGCTTCATTCTTTTTAAACTTTATATTTAAAATGTATCTTATCTAGTTTTACATGTCTGTGGCTGAAACAGATACGTGAACTATGCAAAATTGACAAAAACCACAGGCCTTCTTTGTTCCTCCATTACACTAAAGAAGGCGAATAATCTGGAACAGGTGTGAGCAAAGGAATGTGAACCTTTAGATGAACAATGAAACTAATAAGAATGTGGGGAATCCCTCGGACATTGTGTCCACTGTGAATGAAAATTGGCCAGTCAGATGACGCCTGCACTGCACTGCTGTTCCTACCCCTTTAGTGAGTGATGCGAAAGATACATCAAAACAGCAGATTTAGCAGCATTTCGCTGGAAATTTTCTTCGTGTGAAGGTTTATTTTGATTTTCTCGTAAATATAGTAAAATTTTTTTGCTGTAGAAAATGTACTGTAAAGGCATTAAACGTAAAGCACAATCCATTGAGGACAAAGTCAGTATTTTAAAAGCTGAATTAAACGTTGGCTTTGAGCCTTCAAATGGATAGATTGATGTGATGAAAAAACGAGCTGGATTAATTTATAAAACAATTAAAGGAGATTGTAACAGCATTGATTAACAAGAAGCTGAAGAACGGAAAGTTAAATTACCTGAACTTACTTCAGGTTATCAACCAAAGGACAATTTTAACTTAGAATAATGTGGACTCTCTTTCCATCTTTTGCCCGATAAAACTCATGCAATTAAAGGTAAACGCTGACATGTAAAAAACAGTAGAAAACATTTGACACTTTTAGGTGGGGCTAGTATGAATGGTGCACAAAATTTACCGAATTTAGTAATTGGAAATGCAAAAAAAAAAAAATATTTATTTTTAACCCTCAACCATTTAAGAAGTTTTCCCGCTTAATAAGTCATTTCTTTACAATCCCTTCAAAAACGTCTTAAGCTGGTTTCAAAGTGTAACATATTGGTAGAACCTGGGACGTTGAGAAAGTGTTATTTTATTAACTTGGCAATTTAAATTCATTCCACATTATTATTAGATCCTTTTTGTGATAGTGAAATAAGATATTGTATGAAAAAAACTAAAAAAAATTACTGTATAATATTATTTAAAGAAATACTGTGTTTCACAGTGTTCAATATTTTTATTAGCTAGTTGTGGTTGAAATGGCCGAATCACATCCTCTAGAGTAAACTAGAATTTAGCATGAGGTCCAATGATGCTTAACATGATATTGGAGTATGAGATGATTTGTTGAATTACGTTTGATGTTTTAACATACCAATAAATTGTACTATGCTCGAGATCAGTTTGGTAGCTATTCAACTAATAGATGGCCTTACCTCTTAGATCAAATTGATAAAAAAATTAATGAAACCTTTTTATGGTGTTTTTGATATTGGGAATAATTACTTTCATTACATTGATATTTTTTTTCTATTTCAAAAAATTAATCGGGCTTTCATCAATTCATTAGTTATACTTGGGAAATATTATAGCATTTTGAATTATTTACAAAATTAAACCTCCGTTGGTATCGTCGCAAATGCACTCATGTAAATGCTATGCTATAAAATAGGTGATGCCACCTTTTTATGTTTATTTATCTTACTTCATATCGACCTGACGTTCATGATATCGTAAATAAATTAATATACTTACCTCCATCTTCCACGCGGAGACTACTGATGTTGACAAAACTAACAACCTCCGCTCTTGACGTGACGTAATCTCCAACGGAAAACCGCATATGATCTGGAATTTGAAGATCGTCTAAAGTCCACGTGACTTGAGGTAATGGATTCCCTGAGGCAATACATTTTAATGAAAGTGGACTCCCAGGTTCCACGGTCGATGGTTCGAATGTGTGTTTTAAAACAGGAGCAACATCTAAAAGAAAAATAAATGAAGTGTATTTTCAAGTTTGAAGATAAAAAATTTAATTTTCTTTTAAAATCTAATGGTATGATATGATATTTTTTTATTTGTGATAGGGAATAACTAGTGATTATTAATTCATTGCTATTGATTATTGATTAATAATCATTATACATCGATTATTAATCTACTAATATTGATTATTAATCATTATTAAGAATAAAAATCTATACCCTTTATTCAGAAATAATCATTTTTCAACTTAGTAAGGAAACAACAGCTTAGTAAAGAAAACAAAAGATAAGTTATAAACAAAAATTATTTCCCTTGCATTACATAAAATGACTAGGTGAACTTGAACTGACTCATTATTCCTGATAGACTGTATGCTTCTTACTTCAAATGATTGCTTCTTTTCATTTTTAAATTTGCGTTGGCCAACTACAAAAAAAAATTTAATTTTTGCTGGAAAAAAACTTTTTTATTACGCTTTCATTAATTAACGCTTTTCTTCTTTTTTAAAAAAAGAAGACTTACAACAGAAAAATATCCGTGCTTTGTTTCATGATCTGCTTGCTTCCTTAAAAAATTGTAATTTTTGTCAAAAGAGGAAAAAAATAAATGAATCTTAATACTATGTTTATAATAATAATGCATGCATGTTACTAGATTTTCTTTAGGATCCATTTGTCACCTTAAAGATATGTCATTTTCTTTAAAATGAAAAGGAAATTTTTATTTTGGCTATCTTGACATTGTTTGTTTGTTAACCAGCGTAAACCAACGGGAAAATATCCTGACTTTCTAGTTAAGTTTCATTTGATTTCCTTTAATCATACTTACTTATTTCTGCACAGATTAAATTTATTTTCAAAATTTCTGAAACACTTTGTAACTACGAAGAGAAAAAGGTCAACAAGGACAATTTTAATTGAAAATTAAAAAAAAACATATATTTCTCTGATTTTATAAATAAATTTCAAAGACTAATTCAAATGATTTAAATACGTAGAAATGGAATGTTCGAGAATCTTCTTGCCAAATAGTCAACAAATGTTTCATATTTTGACACTGATTTCATAAACTTACGCAAGTCAGCTTTCACTACTTAACGGCATCTGCTTTCAAAGTTACGTCAAATTCTGATTACTACTCTTGTCGTAAATTTTCATATGTCAGTAAAATTCTTTGAAAGTATAGCTAAAATTTCATTTTAAATGAAAATTTGATTCAAAATCAAGTTTCAAATTTTATTCTCCATTACCTTTCTTCTTGAATTAAGAATGTTTTGATAACACATTTGTAAAAAAAATAATTTATAAATGATAGTTTAATAATTTCACGATGTACATTAAAAATTAGCTTGTTTAAAAATAAGAGCATAAGCTTAAGATTTTGTTAAAAATGTCACAAAAATAAACAATTTAAATATTAATTGATCATGTTTCCTATCTGAAAGAAAGAAATTCATATACATCTCCTTTGAACTCATATTTATTTCCATTTTTCTTCCAACAGACAAATCTCAAGTATTTGACAAAAAATCTTAATTATAGTTTGCGCTCGAAGCAATTTTTAGAAAACGCACAAATTTTAATTGATAATGAACTTAATTAAAATGTTGCCTATAAAATTTCTTAAAAACGAATTTGGAAATTCATGATAAAAATAAAATTTCTATCAATTATTTCTAAAAATAGTAAATAAAAACCTGATTGCTTGAGATGTGATTTGCAAAATGCAAATTGTCTTCTACAGTAAATAAAAATTTATATAATTAAACTGGAAATCATGTTACTAATTACATTGTAATTGCAAAACAAACAAGATATAAAGTAATTAATTTCCGTACTTAACACTTTCATTTTCGTTTACATTTTTACACATAAATATCTTCAAATAAACTAATTATTTTTGTTTTAATAAACTAAATATTATCAACAAATACTTTCAATTTGTTAAATATTATTCATATTAAAAAATATTAATTTTTTTTTGTTCTCTGTTCAGTCTAAAAGTTTTTTTTTCTTTTGAGGTTATTTATTATGCCCAGTAACAAAGGTTTTAATGATTTATTATTAAAAAAATTACATTTCATAGATTTTGACATCAATTATAAAAATATTTTCGGAATACATTATTACTTATCAGAAAATATAAATGCATGAGCCTAGAATGCCTCACGTAGTTTAGGGGGTGGCAGATCAGGGTCGTGACTCGACCTGTAGTTTACATCTAACATGGCTCAAGAAAAAATACATCTACTATAAAATAAATTTAAAAAAATAAAATAGTAAAATTATTGATTCATTATTTTTTTACGTAAGATTTCTTTTTAGATTACATAACGAAACAATTTTCGAAAACTACACCCTGAGAAAAAAGTAGGGACTAAACTACCAGAATATGGTAAAATTTTCCGTGCTGTATAGAGACACCAGAAAAATACCCGAAATTGCAGAGTGCTTTGGAAATAATTTTGGTAAAATTTACTATAAAGTATGGTTGAGCCATGGTGGTTGAAGGCATAGTGCCCTTGTCATCCAATGAAGTGAACAGGGTATGAATACAAGCTATAGTTGGCCGGTTTGAATTCAGTATCCAGGTCTCACCGACCTCAGTGCTGATGTAAAATTACCTCAGAGGTAGACGGATCATGAAATAGAATAAACATGCCACGAGGCTAACTGTGGTAAGGTTTCGTGTCACCCTTTCCATTTGACCGAAATGTGGATTTATTCTATCAAAATGCCTCAAGGAAGGCAAATTTCTACCAATACTTGATCCAGGAGATCTCTTGTCCTCTGGATTGGGTTCAAAATTACAAGGCAGCATGGAATTGCGAATTCGTTGTCGTTAACCCAAAATTGAGTCTGCTGTTCAAGGAGGGTTACAAAATAAAATAGGATTTTATAATATGTGATGTAATTTGGAATATTTGGTAATTTTATCATGATACCAGAGCATAGCATAAAAACCATTTTTTCGATTAAATTTACATTTCAGCTTCGTATTTCTAACCAAATTTGTAGTAATAAAAGTTATAATTTTCAAAAACAGAATTTCCTGCAAACCATTACCAAATAAATATTAAGATTACCAAATGAATTTTTAAAATACCGTATATTTAATTTTTAATTACTTGAATTATAGAACAAAAATATCATTAAAATGCAAAACGGAAATTTTTCCAAGAATTCTTTCTTCATGAAAAATTAATATGCTTTTAATTAAATTAAAATATTAGAACCCAAGATTTAAAGTAAATTTTTTGTACACGTTGCCCTGAAAACTGGAAAATAAAGAATGCATTTTTTTCTTCCTTAAACTAATTTTCTGTCGTCTTTAATAGTGTCTTTTCAAACCTAGATACATTTTGTCAAATTTTAAAGATCTAAGAATGTTTAGTGAAAATGAAATTTCTCGACGCAATACAGTTTCTGTTCTTGGTAGGAAAATATTTGCTTTTGATACGTCATTTAAAGGAAAAAATAATAGTTTGTAATATAATTTAAATATAACTAAGTACAAAAATGAAATTCATAACATTTCCTGAAATTCATAACGTTTCCTGAAATACATTAAATAAAGAGACCAGAGCAACACTCAAAACGTTCTCAACAGTAACCTTAACAAGGATCCATTTTTCTTCTGTAGTTTTTCGTAAATATATTCCCTAGCAATTTAATGCTAATTACGTTCAGTGACGTAGCGTCGAATTCGTTGAAGCATCTAACTGCTCCACGAAAAGAGCTTTTCCCTTGTAGAGGTAGGCGAGCTTGTGAAGAAAACGGCCCTTTAAAACTATTTCCTAGTAAGCTACTTATAGTAATAGGATTACATTGCTAGAACATAGAAGCCAAAGTTTTGAATACAGATCGTGCGTTGTGAATGGAAAAGGGTATTATAAAAATTCGCAAAGCGGCACTTTTCTTTTTTCCTTTACCTGTTACAATGAAACTTCGATAATCTTCTCTTTATCAGCAAAAAAGACCTGGTTAATTTTTTTATTTTAAAAATTATGAGGCAATCAGAAATATCACGCAATCAAGTTACATTATTTTTTCTTTCGTGAAAACGTTGTCAAATATACATGATTTTTAAATGTGATTTATTTTTATCATACTTAGTTACTTTCTAAAATATATTTACAAGCAGCAAAATTTTCAGTTTATAATTGTGAATTGATTTGCTGCGTTAAAATTTTTATCAGGAATATAAGTATGGAAATTATATTGTTAGCTCTTTGACGTAAAGGAAACATTGGTGTCCCTTTTATTCCAGCAAAAATATATTTTAGTACTGTTTAATAATAGGAAAATAGTCTAATAGTTAATAAAAATCTGTTAGATCATCAAAATTATATTCGTATTAAAGTGTAAAATCAAAAAAATGTTGCTTGAAAAACATTTAGTTCATATTCAAATCATTATCAATTATTTATTAATAAAATCGAAGAAATTTAAACAATGAATAATTGTTTCTCTTGAATCTAAATAACTTTGAAAAAGTTATTTAGATTAGAGAAAAAATTTGAAAACTATTTGAAAAATATATATTTTTTCAAAGTTTTTAAAATAGCGCAAAAAACACGTCTGTTTCATGGCGTATTTCAAAACTATAAATTATTTAAATGGTGAAGCAGTTTTTACAATTTTGACATAAATTAATACAAAAACAATGAAAAAAAAGTATGAGAAATATGTTTACTAAAAATTTTGCCTCTTAGGACTAGAGTAAAGAATCTGAAAGATTTTGATTGAGACCTTGCGTTTAAAATGAAAGACTTATTACAATAGTTTTGAAAGTAATATTTTTTTCATTTTTTTCAAAGTTTCATATTAGAAACTTCACTTTATTTTTTATCAACAATGAATGAATGAAGAAGGTTTTTTATTCATGATTTCTTTTTAATTTGTTCCTAGTAATATTTTTTTTTGAAAATATATGTATTCGCAAATAAATTGTGAAACGTTTTAGAGGTCATGAATTGTTGGCGTAATGGATGTTGGACGAGGTATCATTCCAGTAATAGTCGGTAAATAATAATAACCAGAGTATGAAAACCTTGGCATCGTTTTTGAAAGAGGTAACACTTTTATTTCATTTTCTAAAACATGATGCAATACTGAATTGAATACGTTTCTTATTCTGTAAAATGTCATGCATTACAGCTGAATTTACACCCCTAAATTTCAAGTTTGAGAGCGTAGTCAATGATATTGATAAGTTTTTTTTTCTTTGTTTAAATAATATTATATCGATATATTTTTAAATCTGTTTTCACATTTGTGCATAATAATTTATTAATATAATAAAATATTGCGTAAATGATTTGCAACAAGTATGCAAGTATGCAAGATCATACAGTATCTGTCTTTTTATTTCTACAATATTTGTTTCTTAAATGAATTTCAAATTAAAAATATCCAAATGACATAATCAGACCTTAAATAAATGAGTGAATGTTAATTTTTGTGATGCAGGATACTTTATATCGATATAAAATCAGAAGTTTCAAGGAGCATGTGTGAGCTTAGAAAGGTAAAGAAAAAAAAATAATGTACTTTTTTTTCTTTATTCAATCAACAGATGTGCTACTGAAGGCAATTATTTGGTTTATCCCATGAGTATAATTGTGATTTTCAATTTCTTACAAAAAATAAAGTGTTTTGAAGTAACTTTGCGGTTGACATGTGTAAAAAATACATCTCAGGTTGAAAACGAGGTTATGTTTTGCACCAAAGATAACCTCATCTATAAAACTCCATTTCAATCTCATTTACCCCTCTTAAAACCAACCTTATATATAGCTTAGCAGAAATTTCAGTTAAAATCTGGTTAAATTATTTACACCTCAAATATATTTTTTTGCTTGAAGTGAAAAAGAAGCAACATGACCACCTCAAAAACAACCTGGCAAAGCTGGTTGTTCTAAGGTAGATTTATACCGACCTCAACACAAGCTCGAGTGTTGATAAAACAATTTCATGCACCTTGATTATAAACCTTGGAAGGTAAATTTTAAGGCTGTTTTTTAAGTCAACCAACTTCAAATAAAGCTCAAACCACCTCAAGTTTTTTGTAAAGAATAGTCTTCTATTTTTTTTTTTTTTTTGCTTCCTCAACTTTATGGAACAAATCTCCAAACATTTCAAGTCAATGCGTAGGCCAGACATGCGCTTTACTAGATTTAAAATGTTTGCACATAAGTGTGGGTCAAATTCCACATCCATGTTTGACTATCAATTTCTAGTAAATCCAAATAGATGGCGGATTTTCTTGGTTAAATTAATATCTATATAGGTGTACTATCAGTTTACATAATGTTTTGGTTTTAAACATACCTCCCAAAACAAGTTGAGCTGCATCTTGTACAGATTCTTTGTCATTATAAACAAAACATTGATACATCCCCCGATCTTCTCTTTCAACAGGACTTATTCTCAGCTCTTCTCTGGAAACAGATATTCGACGTGATGACAAAACAGGAACCATATCTTTTCTCCAACTAATAATGTGTACCGGATGCCCGGAAACATTACACGTAAATATTGCAGTTTTACCGACATCCACAGTTTGAGATGGAGGAAGTGCCCGGACTTGAAGTCTGTCTAATTAGAAAGATAGATAATTAGAAATCATGTATTTTACATAATCTGATAAGTGTTAAAAAAATAACTAATATTGATTTAGAGGTAAGACTTGTAAAACATCAGAAGCAGCATCACCCAACAGATTTCTAACACCAAAAAGATATAACAAAAAATCGACCCTGCTTTTCAAAGTAATCAAACTGATTCTAATTTCAAAATGTCACCGTTTTTTTATAACTTCAGCTTTAAAAATGTAGCAATATTTTAAAAAATTGCCAATTCAAATTTATATAAACCATATTTCATGAAAAAAGCATGTATGAAAACTAGTTTCTAGTAATGATAATGCATACACTGTAAAAAATTCGGTACAAAATTACGATGAAATATACTGGCTCCTGAGTAGTGGAACGAAAAATCTGATATACCACAATTTTCAAAGTAATAATTACCTTGGAATTACTAAAGCACTCAAATTAAATAAATATTACTTAAAAAAGTACAGTATAATATTTTACGATAAAAGCAACTTTGCGGAGGATACACCCAAAGTGCTAGTATACTTTATACCGTTGCTGGATCCGATTGTTCTTACAGTGTACGGATGATTCCTTGCATATGGTTTCGAAAATGCATATTGTTTTTTCTCTCTATAATATTTGATACATGGTCATTTTATTAATAGATTATATCAATCCTGTAGAAAAGTAGCTCAATGTTTAGTAAAAACATTTTACGAAATTTTACATCTTCTTAAGAAAAACTAAAATGCAAAACTATTTATCATTAATAATGAGGAAGATTTTTGCAATATTATTCAGAAATAATACAATTATTTTTACTACAGTAAATGAAATTAACGCAATTTAATTCCAGTTTCAATCAAGAGTAATTGAAATGTATTTTATATTTAAATTATGTAAGATAATTGCAATAAGTATGTTTCTATTTTCAATTTTTTAGCATTTTTTCAAAACTTCTTTACTACGTGTTCGTATTTCGGAAAAATAAGTCTGAATTTTTTTTTGTTCTTCAGGCAATCTAATAATCTTCTACGCTTTGAACAAACATGAAAAGCTTAAACTGAAATAAAACCCCGTGTACTTTTGGATAATTCATGCACTGTTTCGAATATTACTATTTTCCTCGTTCGAAGGCTCTGAAATTTAAAATTCATTGAAAACGTCCTTTGATTCTAAGCCATTCTAAATATTGATTACTCAATAAATTTTCAAGTACATTTTGAGATACTGAAAGAGGAATTTCCCTGTTCTTTACAGACCATTTCATTCTTGAATTGTGAAGTGCTTCTACATGCTGTTAAGTTAGATTTTTTTTTACTTCAAATGTTTGTGAAAAAATGTTTGGCTATAAAATAGTGATACAAGATACGTGATTGAAAAAAAATGTAATGCTTTAAAAAGAAGATAGAATTGCTCTTTTGATATGGAAGTTAACAGTCATTTATCACAATTTATCATGCAATCTGACAGAGTTCGATAAAAACCTTTTGGACAATAAAGCTTGATTTTTTAAAGTTATAGTTGATAAAAAATAATTCTCATGGCTCTTTTTTTAAAGATTATTTCTACGAAGTTTTTAAACATTTAAATTTTAGTTTTTCTGATCTTAAACAAAATAAATATGTTAGGATCTTTACGACTTGGTTTATAAAGTAATTCGATATTGGTGGTTTTTATTAATTTTAATTCACAGGTTGTCTATTCCAAAATGGTTTTATTTGTGAGACTTCAATATTTTGTTAAAGCAGCTGTTTTTCTTAAAAGAAAAATAATAGTTTCTGTATTTTAAAATTTAAAACACTAATGTACAATATCTGCCATATCGGATGGCCAGCAGAAATTACTATATTGCCTCTAAAATAATTCAAACATCTTGCAAATATATATTTCGTTTTATTAGGAAATATTTCTAACAATCCCAGAAATGGTTTTAAATATATAATATTTTTTTTTATCTAAAACGTAATTGACTTTCAGTTCTGTATGAATTCAGTTATTCTACTCTTTTTATCAGACAAGAGAAAGATTTGATAGAAAATGTAAAGTCAATAAAGCCAGATTTAATTTTTTTTATGTTCCATAAAACTCATTATGAAACAGTGAAAGTCATCATTTTAGTCTAATTTTCCGTTAGTAAATGTCTGCTCCCCGTTATCTAAATTAATAACTCGCAATTTGGTATTAAACTACAAGATTTAATATTTATAAGAAAATATCATGATTAAAATTGTAGACGACTGACAAAACAAAGTTTACAAAAGCTTTAATTTTTATTTAGTCCAACAAAATATTAAATATTTAGAAAAATTTAAATATTGTAATTTTCGATAGAAATTTTAAAATTTAAGTATATGGTGTTTTTTAAAATGTATAAGAACAGAACATGTTAAATGTATTTATTGTACATGCTAAATGTACATGTTAAATGCACAATATATTTTAGTAAGTTTGACTGTATTTACATCAAAATTTTATTTACATTCTGACTGTATTTACATTCTTTCGAATGTAAACTTCTCTTTGTTGGTTTCATAGTCTTTCTTTTAAGTAATGAATTTATAAAAAAAAAATATTATAAAATTCATTTGAAGAAAAACAACGAAAAAAGTATTCTTTTATTCAAAAAGAGCCCACAACTGCTGAAACTTTGTAATGACAATAATAAAATAATTCTTATGAGTTTTTATTATAATATGTTTAGTCTCATATTTTATGACTTAATTATTTTTGTTTCACTTATTTTTATTTTACTTATGTTTTAATTTGTTGAGAAATCTATAAGTAAATAATTGTTCGAAAGCGAAATTCATTTCGTATTCAAACCAGTTTATTTCAATTCTTAAATCAGTTGAAAACTAGTTTGTTATAAAAAAAAAGCTTAATTTGTCTTTTACTGATAGAAAAGTTTAAACACAAACAAAGTTCTAATGTTCTTTTGCCCTAAGAGTTAATGGTTCCAAACCTGGTTAAACAACAGAATAAGCAACCCTTAAAAGCATAATAATATCATTATTCATTCAAGTTACCAAAGATCATTAGTCTCCGTGGGTCACACGCTATTAACTTGAGTTCTGGTTTGGAACAAGAGTTTAAATCCCTAACAAATCCCCTTTTATAGAGTAACAAAAAAGAAAAACCTTCATAAGCCTTTTCAATAGCAAACGATTTAAGAAGAAAACTTTCTATAAAGTGTGGTCTATGGGGTCTTCTTTTGAATTAACTTTACTCACGCACCATCGAGGAAAATCGTCTACAGCGTGGAAGAATTCATAGACATATTCATATATGAATGATCGGCGTCCTCCTCTATGTCGAGGATTTTAAGCAAAATGATCGATTTTTAAGTTTTCGCCAAAAACTTTTGCATTATTCATATCAACCTTTCTCCCGATCTGTTAATGCAAAATAGATGGTGATGGATAGGTTCTGTATAGTTTCTGGCATGGAAGATTTTATTCTAAAAATCCCAGAAATATTCATAGATAAGCCAAGCCACAAAGAAACATTAAATATTCTTCCTTTTAATAGTTTTATCTTTGAACCCTCAGAAAACGAATATTCAATATTTCAAAAAATATATTCAGTAGTGGAAAAATTAAGTTAAATTTATGATATAAGTATAAAAAAAATTAACAAAAAATTACACATAATCTGGGGTTAAGAGAAACATAAAAATCGAAAATTTATTTTAAAACAGCTTGGCGTGCTTTGCAAGCATATGATCTGTCTATTGATTAATGACAACGAAAATAACGCGTAAATTGGACGTTTTGAAAATTATATTTTGTGGGAAAAAATCAATTTAATTTGTAAAGTCGTGTAAAATTTTTTGAGAAATTATATATTTAAAAAAATTAAGTGGAGCAGATAAATTTAAAAAGGATTTAAAACATATTAAGTACTCTATATTATTTCACAAGACTTGGAAAATATTTTTCCTTTTTGTATATCTTTTCATTAATTATATAAAAATTTTTAAGTTTATTAAAATGCACTCATTGGTAAGAAATTAGATTAAACTTATAATGAAAAATAAGACTTTTTTTTCTAAAAACCATACATCTATTCTGGGGCTTAAAGTAATAGAAACCTTTTGGATTTTTTTTTACAAAAATTAAACAATTCTTTGTCCTTCACAAATTTGTTAGATGTAGCTATTTATTAGCAATTACAATGTTGTAGCACTTATAAATTATTAATTTTGAATAATTCGAAGTGTCTGAATTTTCCATTTTACAATAAGGAAATGAAATCATAAAAATTGCAGTGGAACAGCACAAATAATTATTGTTTTAAAATTAGCAATTATTTTATGTCGCATTAGAAAGCTATAAAAGGAAAAATAAGAAAATTTTGTAACTGGCTACAGGCAAGATGTCGTATTTTTAACCTTAGCCACTTTTAAAAACATGTTGCAACTTTTTCCCAAAATTTAAAATTTTAAGGATTAAAAAAAGTGTTGACATTATTAAGGCAAGGCATTTCTTTTAAACACTAAATAAGGAAATTAGCCTAAATATTTGATTTTTAATTCAAATGTCATTATAAAAAGTTGGAAAAGATCATTTTTCATAGTTTTCAAATTTTGCAGTATTACTTATGGTAGTATTTTAACATCTCAATAATTAGCATTATTTTCAGGAAAAATAATAACATCATAAAACTGTTACATACTATTGTAAATATTAGCACATGATTTGAAATAAAAGTTACAAAAGAAAATTTTCTTAGCAGTTTTCTCTAGGTTATAGGTATAACTCACATTTTTGCTTTGGGTGGGCAAAACGGGTGAGCAATTTATCGAGGGAGTTTGTTACTTGCAGTTTTAAACAAATACGGCGATAGGCGAGCATATAGTTTCTTTGTGCAACAATCTAACTAACTCAATTCGACAAAGCTAAAAAAAAGGAATTTCTAGAAACTTATGACTTTGTGAAAGTTGTGAAGCGTTACAAACTTCAGAAAAATTGGCAAAATGAGCAAAAATAATTCCCATTCTGGAAATCATTATATATCATCCTATTTGATGAAATAGTTCCACGCTAAAATCTTAAGCATTGAAAAGATTTAGTTTCTCAGGAAGGTTTTTATAATTGTGAACTATTAAAGCTTCCATAATGGCGTATTGTATTCAACATGTAGACTTTTTGTCTCAATTGATGATAATACATAATAATAGCTTTTTGATCCTGAACTAAAATGTTTAAAAAATATGCAATGTAGTTGTAGCTTTGTTAGTTCGTGGGATTTCTCTATAATTCAGACTCATTATAATAGTTTATAAAAGTATTTTTGTTCATAAGGAATGAAAAAGTTCTTAAGATGTAAAAATATATTCGTTGGGGTATTTCTTTGCGAAAAAGGAACTTCAAGGAATGTTCAATAAACTACTTTTCTCGTTTTATTTTCCTAATTATATTAAACTGTTCAAAAATTATTTATTTCTAAGTTCATCAGTCAACAGAAATTTAATCCAAATTTAATAGTCTTTTTCCCCATCAATTAATAAAATTTTAACGACAAGAGTTGTTTATTGAATTTAATTAGTTTTCCTTGCTGTAAAATGCAAATTAGAATCTTTCACAGACATTTACTCTTCTTCGGATGGTAGGTCAAGTTAGTTATTTCTAAGCCAAATCATATCTCGAATAGAAACAATTGAAAATTGCGTAAACAATTATGAGGAGTAAGAAAAAAACAGAACAAGAAAATTTTCTTTGCAGTAAAATAAAAAATAGCAACCCCTTGTAGCATCGTACAGCGTCGGACCAGTCAGGCGCGTAAATGAGAAACTGTGTGCTGCATCGAAGTATCACTCTCAAATCTCTATTATTTTGTGAGCTCATATCATTTTGTGCTCTCATTATATATTATAATAAACTTTTCTTTTAAGCTTTTAAGATCTCAAAAAGATAGGAGAAGTCAAGTAAGGTTGTATAGTTATTTTAAGGTTTAACTCCTTTAGTGTTAAGCGTATCTCTAATGCTTCGCATATCTCTAGTGCTCAGCCTACTTAGAGTTCTAGCATTAAAGTTCAACTCAAAATGTGGTAAATATTACAAATATTACAAGGCTAATTTCGAAAATGATGAAAAAATTTAAAAATAGAGTAATTTTAAGAATATTATAAAATACTCATAATGATTCCATAGTTATTTAAAAAAAAATAATTATAATTTGTATATAGTGTCATTTTGACGAAACAAGTCGAAATTGTATCGCCACTGGAAAGCAAGGTTTTATTATCATTCATTATAAAAAGTTGCCTTGTGGCTCATCATGACCGTTAATTCTGCTCTATAGAAGATTATGCATTAAGAGATATAAATCTAAGTAGTCCCCAAAAGTTTCCTTATTATATGCTTTCAGCAGAGTTTATTGCAAAACCGAAACCATTATCTTATCCTTTATGTCATTTATTTGTTTGATGTTTCCATTAAAAGCAAAGACTTTAGTGAAATCTTGATACCTTCACAAACTGTGTCTTTGTAAAATCCATATTCTTTGTATTAAAACAAGAAGTTTCCACGTTAACACCTTCATTTAGATTAAATGCTGTTTTTGATTTCTGTTAAAAACTAATATACTTACTAATATTCTTATTCTAAAAATTAATATACAAAGGCTTTATTATTATTTAATTAATTTCGTACCTCTTATTAAAAGGTCTGTCTCAGCTCTCTCCTGTCCATTTGTATTGTTCACAATGCAGACATATTTACCACCATCTTGAATATTAGCTTTTCGAATTAAAAGCGTACCATTGAGTTCAGTAATCCTTTGATTGGATGTATCAATTCTTTTTATTACATGTGAAGGACCATCGCGTAGTCTGTACCACCTATAAGAATAATATCAATGTTAGATGTTCAGTTTATATTAATTGAGATGTGAACAATTATTAGTTTAAATATCTAAGCTTTTGTTGCCTTTCATAAACATTTGAAAGGATAAATAGCTGCCATTCTAAGAAAAAAGTTAGTGAATTTGAGCAACGAAGCTTTGTATTTCGTCCGTTGATTATAGGAATTGAAGAACCTGATTTGCCTTAAATGCTTGTCGTCAAGTTTTAAACTTACAATATATATAAAACCATTAATTTAAGCATATAACCATAACTTTAAATAATTCGCGCCATAAGATTTGCACTGTTTCTGTTTTAATTTGCGTCCATCATATATATATATATTTCAAGATTGTTCGTTTGACGCAAATTACCAAATACAGTTGCTAGTGTTTTCAAATCCGAAATTGTTCACTGAACTCCGATTGCCAAATATTGTGGGTACTGTTTTCAAATCCCAAAAATACTTATAGACAGTCACTTAGCAATTATTCAAGGAGAAATGCGAGATTTCGAGTTAAAACGAAATTGAAAAAAAGGAAGAATTCATAGGTAAATAATATCTTTCCGTGAGAAAATGTTTTTAAAACTATTTATTTTGAGTAGTTTTTCATTGAGCTTCAAGGCTTTCACTCTTTTATATTGATACAATATTGTTATCTTCCTTAATATGAAATTTCAATGTCAAAAAATAAAAATAGTGTCATTATACAACCAATATCATCATAAATTAAAGATTACATAGTTTAAAAAGTTTGGAGCCGTTTTGAATGGTTAAAACAATAGCGGTTTTCAAAATAATTTAAAGCTAAGACTCTTCCATTTCTGCCTAGCAGCTAGTGGTAGTCTGCCGACTAAAATATACATTTGATCTAATAGTATCAAGTTTTCCTATACAAGGGAACAGCCCGTTTTTTAACCCCCTGTAATTAGTGTAAACGATGATAAGATAAGATTAAAATTGTGCTTTCAAAAATAATTTTAATTTTTTAAGCATGAATTTAGATTTTTAACCTTATAAACATAAAATAGCTTTGACAAGAAAGTTTTCAAAGTTTGATACCCTTAATGATTCTTTTAACTAATTAATCAAGTTAATTTAAATTAGGATTTCATCTTCTTGAATGATATTATATTAAATTATATAATCTGAAATGCAAATTCAAACATTTGAAGGAAATTAATTCAATACCTTTTAATAAATAAGAATAAATAAATAATAATTTTTAAAATTTTATTTGTTGGAACTGTCCAGTCAATTTCAATAGTTTTTTGAAAACTATTACAATGCATCATAAAAGGAATAAATGCTTTGTAATAATTAGTTTTTTGTTAGAGGTCCTCTGTCAACAAGTTATTTTATTTGAACTCGATTTTGTAACAAAAATAATAATCTGAACTGGTCACTTATCATATCCCTTTAAACATTAAAGTCTTTCCTTCATTAGTATTTAGCTAAGTATGACTCATAAACGTGGATAATTTCATTCTCCTATTATGTCTTTTAGACATATAAGCATATTTTTTTAATTGTACATAAAATAATTATTACTTGTGCATATGTAAATGAAAACAGACCCATTGTGCATTTAGAAGTAATGAAAATATACGGATTTCAAAGAAATATGTTAATAATATATTTTCTGCAATTTCAAATTTCTCCAAATAAATTATTGCATACTTCTCCAAACATTAGTTTGATCTAAAAATATATTTTGATAAAGACTATTGAAGGAGGAATTTCGCTATAAATGAATCCATCTATTACAAAACTTATTATTTAAATTCTTCAAACACGTATTTTCACGAATCACTGATAATTAAAAGAGAAGTTATCTACAAACATTACTTATTTGAAGGTTCATTGATATGAAGATCTCTTTGAAGTGCATAGAATTGAGTATACAATGTCAAATGTTCATCTCTGTATCATTGATGGTTACTATTTACCTGCATTTCGCTTCAATATCCTTATCGGTTATATTGAAATTCCACAGCACTGAGCGGGTTGAGAATTACTGATTCAAAGGATCTAGACCTGGATATAAGCAGCTTAATTTGGTAGGCAGCTGACGGTATTGAGGGAGTTGTGTCTAGATTAAAGTGAATCTAAAAAGGAGGTGGTTGTGAAAACTAATCTAATATTGATTTGAAAGTTTACACTGATTTAAGCTGATATTCATTTATTCTTACTTCATAAAATGATATTAAAAATTTTGAAAATTAATGGAACACTTCACAAATTAAAATCAATTATTGAAATAATAAATTTTGAAATGATAAATTTAATGAATCTCTTTTAGTAAGGAACAGTAAAATAATTTTGAAATTTTTGGAAATAATTTGAAGGCTTAAAGGAAAAGAAGAGAGTAGAAAATCAAATATTTTATTACTTACAAAATTAATAATGTTGTTTAATCATTCAATTATATATATATCTTATTATATGCTTTNATTTATTTATATATATATATATATATTATATATATGCAAAGATGGGTAACTCGAGTAATTTTGATTGGTTCCATGCACGTAAAGTTCAGATTATCAAATCAAAAGGCTTACAGGGTGTTTGTTTTATGAGTTCACTGCACAGTCTGCAATTAAAAAGAATTGCAATCTGGTTAATCTAAATTCCACTTAAAGCTTGCCAATCCAAGTCAATTAAAACTTTATTCTTATTTTATTTTTATTACTTTTTGCGTTTATTCAAATATTATATTTATTACTTTTAAGTAAATAATATTTCCCATCGTAAAATTGAGCACTCAATACAAACTAACATACTTATTGATTGTCAAATAGTTCATTAGACATGCTTTTAAAAATATATACATAGTAGTCAGTAAGATAAGAGTTAGATAAATGATAGATTACCCTTCCTTTAGGATTAGTATTACCTAATTCCTTATTTATTTTCATTCTGATCATAAGCAGCAACTTATTTGCAATATATCTTGGTATTATTAAAAAAAAGACGATATATGAAACCTATATCTATGTACGTAATGCTTTACTACATAAGAGATATTAAATATAAGTCACAATAATTATTAATGTCTTTTTCATTCTAGTTATTATCTAACAAATTCCTATGTTTATTTATTTAAAAGCAGTTTTCAAATGTGAAGCTTTTATACTATTTTTTGTATATTAATATTATATTTATATATCTTCTATTTATATTAGTTTCACAGCAATATAAAAGAATACTTAAAACGTAGCATGAATAAAAGAAGAATCGTTTAAAATGAGGAACGTTATCATAAATGTAAATTGGTATTTTAAAGTGTGTATTGAAATCCATTATTAACATATTACTTAATAAATCATATTATTATTATTTCTAGCAACAATATGCAATACATTTAATTTAGCATTTTTCAGCACATTGTTGATATTAGTTCAAAATTAATTTTAATTCAATTTTACGTAATTGATTGATTAATTATATTGTGCACAAAGCCAACTGGAGGTCTTAAAAGACCTTTCTTCCTTTTTTCTTTATTAAAAAGAAATTAAATACACTGAAAGAGAATTTTTGTAAAAATGAGCATAATCCTTACTTAGAGGCGGAAAATAATAAATTAGCGTATTTGTAAACTAATAAAAAAAACTGTTTTCAACAAATCAATACAAATTTTTTTTTCTCAATTTATACAATTTGAATAAAACAAAAAACTACTTAAAATAAGAAGACTAAATTTGAATAAACGAAAAAAAATTTTTTTTCATTTATTTTTTTATAAATATTTAATAGTTTTAGAAACAATAAAGCAATTATAACAATTATTTAAAATATTCATAAGCAATTTCCATTAGCAAGTTTTGATATTATTAGTAAACTATTTAAGTATATTTAAAAAGAAATATGACATTTATATCATTACTTAAATTTAAAAATTCTAAATATGAAGTTAAAAATATTAAGATTTAGTCTTGAGCAGAAAACTAACCTATCTTAATCAAAGGATAGAAGCAAACGACCCGATGGAGAATTATCTTCAAAGATTTCCTTGAAATCATTTAAATGAGTAAAAAAATGAAAGCAATTTTAAGTGAAGTAAAGTAATAGAAGGAAAGTTAATTTCCGAGTAGCTTAATTATCCCCCCGGTTAACTCAGAGAGAAATTTTAGAAATAAGAGAAGAATTGAACGAGAAAAGCCTGAGCCTACTTTGAGAAGCATTTCCCGTAATTAACAGTTTTACATAAAATGAGTTTGAAGGTTTGGGTCGGTTGTATCTAATTTTATACTGGATCAAATAAAATTTAATCTATTGCTAAGGATAAGTTATGTAAAACTGTGCTGTAAGGAGGGAATATTGTCAGAGGTTTTATTTTTCAAAGTATGCATTTTTTTCTGATTACGTTATATTTTATCTTGCTAATATGAAACATTAGAATTTCTTTTTTAACTTATACAGTTTTACCAATTAACAATTTTGAGAATCTAATACTCAGTTTAACTCATTTATTTAAACATGCTCATAGTAGGAGTGGAAATTATTACATTATTTGAAATAATATAAACTAATGTTTAACTATTCTAAGCATATTTTTCTGCTTTTTATTTCGCGAATATTACTAGAATTTATTATTATATTATTATTATATAATGTTATTAAAAAATATTCCTGCAGTGATGTAAAAAGAAAGTTTAAGAAAATTTATTCAATCAGTATTTGTGAAACGAAATTGAAATTTTTAAAATATTTAATTTATAAAAAGGGTAAGATACATTTTTACCTTTATGGTTTTATACTACTATATTTTAATACTTTCTTAAATCGAGCTATTTTAGTTAAATAGTTGTTTTACGAAGAAGGTTTATATTTTCAGTATTTTATTTAGTACTTCTTTAAATTTAATTTTTGAGAATATAATTTCGCATAAGTCATATTAATAAAAATAATATAAGAATAAAATATCAGCATTTCTTTTGTAAACATATCTATTTATGAGGAAAAAAATATTGTAACTTACTGTTAAAATTGC